AGACAGACAGAGAGACAGAGAGACAGACAGACAGAGAGACAGAGAGACAGAGAGACAGAGAGAGAGACAGAGACAGAGACAGAGAGACAGACAGAGACAGACAGAGAGACACAGAGAGAGAGAGACACAGAGAGAGAGACACAGAGAGAGAGACACAGAGAGAGAGACACAGAGAGAGAGACACAGAGAGAGAGACACAGAGAGAGAGACACAGAGAGAGACAAGCAGAGACACAGAGAGAGAGACCGAGACACAGAGAGAGAGAGAGAGAGACAGAGAGACAAAGTGACAGGCAGAGGAAAGAGAATCTTAACCAGTCTACACATTCAGCACAGAGCCTGGATCATGACCGGAGCGGAAATCAAGAGTCAGACATTCAGCTGAGTGAGCCACCCAGGTGCCCCTTCCTTTTTAACTGAAATTCTCATTAGTTAATATACAGTGCAATATTGGTTTCAGGAAAATTTAGTGACTCTTCATTTACAACACCCAGTGCTCATCACAAGTGTGCTCCTTAGCATCCATTACCCATCTGGCCCATCTCCCACCCACCTCCCTCCAACAACCCATAGTTTGTTCTCTGGCATTAAGAGTCTCTTGTGGTTTGTTTCCCTCTCTTTTCTCCACGCCCCCCCCCCCGACATCACATGTTCACCTGTTTTGTTTCTTAAATTCCACATGACTGAAATCCTAAAACTTTTTTAAAATACAGGACACAGCATACACTACTATGCTCAAAACTTCATTAGCTCCTCATTTCACTCAAAGTGAAAACTAAAACCATCAGAATGGCTCAGAAGTCCTACAACATCTAACCACTACCACCAGGACTCCCCTCCTCCCCCCCAACACACACGTTTTTCTGTTCCCTTACTCCTACTACACTCATTACACCACAGTCACGGTGCCTTTCCATTCCCTGAACTTCCCAAATCTGGGTTTGGGGCTTATTGCTCTCAGAGCACAGCTTGCTTCCCAACAGTCTTCAAGTTTCTGTCACAGGTTTCCTTTCAGATGAAGCGTTTCCTGACCACTCAATTTAAACTGCAGCCTCCCTCTAATTTAGGAGTTTCTAGACCCCTCCCTAACCTCTCTTTCTCTAACACCAAAAAAAAGTTCTATTAAACCAGTGGTTCTCAAATATTTGGTCTCCAGACCCTTATATTCCTAAAAACTAATGAGGACCTTGCTATGGACGGAGATTTTGTGCCTCTCTCCAAGTCATATTGAAACTCTATCTCCCAACGTGATGGTATTAAAACATAGGGCCTTGGGAAGGTAATTAGGATTAGAGGGTATGAGGATGGAGCCTTTGGGAATGCACTTAGTGCCCCTATGGGAGTCATGAGAGAACTTCTCTATGCCATATGAGATCACAAGAACACAGGTATCCGAGATCTGTAAGCCAGGAAGTAGGTGCTCACCAGA